AAACACAGATTCACACAATGCATCCCTTACACACAACAAGAAACACACAATACATCCCTTATATACACACACACACACACTGCTTCCACTACACACAAACACACTGCATCACCTACACAAACTGGTATCCCTATACACTACATTCTGTAAGCACACACATTAGATCCTCTACAGTAACACATAACACACCCCCTACACACTCTACTCCCTGTGAGTTCATGGGTGGAACATGTAGGTGGACTTATGGGTGGGCTTTATGGGCATACTCACCGTTAGGCCCTGGGGCCCAGACCTTGAGCTATGTAAGAGGCCCCAAAAATGGAGCTGCTTCCCGTTCTCCCAGAACATTGAATTTTGTGACCACAGTTACAAACAGCCTCCAGAGATCCTGTTCTACACCAGACCAGAGGAGCCAGACTGCAGCCAGAGCCCATCACCATCCTCATCTGATTGTAAGTAGGCAATCTAGTATATTATTAGTGACACTAATCTCTAATTTACCTCTCATTAAATGGACACTATAGTCCCCAGAACCACTGCAGCTTAATAAAGTTGTTCTGGTGTCTATAGTTTGTCCCTGCAGGCTTTTTAATGTAAACACACACTGTGTGCAGCACTGGCATTAGTTCTTATGGGTGGGGCATTGCAATGTTCCGGGGGGAGGGGGGGCAAATCCTTCTTTTGCCTAGGGCGGCAAAAATTCTTGCACCGGCCCTGCATATAACTGCATCTTAGGCTGTATAGGTAGCAGAGAACCTATTACATCCTGTCACCCTGTCTTGAAAACCAGTCCTTAAACAATGCCTTATCTGAGTAGCGATCACCGACATCATCTTAATGTCACACTAATCTTCCTGGTAAAACAGAGGCATGAATTTTATTGTAGTGTAAACACTGAGGAGGATTATGTCCCATTGACCTGCAGTCCAAGCTGTTAAAGCATCTTTGCATTCCAGGCTAGACAGTAGCGTGCGTAGGTATATGAATGAGGTTAATTGGCAGGCTGCATAGAGGTTTGGCTTTACTTCAACAGCTACATATGTGGCATTATGAGGCCATGGCAGCCAGTGATCGTTCCCCAATGCTTCCATTGATATAGAGCGCACAAGATTCTGGTGTTGCTTGGTTTGAACCTCTTCTCTTCACCGCTGAGTAGATAATGGACTGTAAAAGGGAAACACATATCATGTATATTTAGGTTGCAAAGCAGTGATGTACATATTGAATGTACCGTCAGCACCACAATAGTCAGGAGTGACCTAGTGCCCCTCTCATTCCATTGTAAGCAGTCAAACTTACCTGGGGTCTTCTGGGTGCTGCTCCATATCTCCAGAGAGCTTCTGGCTCTCTTTTTGAGCTAAGCCTGGCTTTGCAGAGCAAAGCCAATAAGCTAGCCCTGCACTGTTTAAATGCTTCTGGCTCTCCACTTTAACTAGTGGATGCGAAGAGCATCGTCTGACAGAGCCTAAGTGAGAAGTCATACTATTCAAAATAATTTTTACTCACAAAGGAGGGTACTTCTGGCACCAAAACTACTTCAGCACGCTAAAATGTGTGGGCCTTGACCTGCAGCGCCTGACAGAAACTGACACCCAAAGTTTGGTGTGATTGTTCCAGGAGCGGTTTCGCCCCCAAAAATGGCTGTTTAATATGATAACACCAGTATTAAAATTATAATTAAAATTAAATGTGATAATGCCAATATTAGGATAAATCGAAATAGATCAAGTATTAGAGGAAGAAAGTGTAGTAGTGTATGGTGTGTACGTTTTTAAATCTGTTAGGAGCAGAATAAATATAGTATACACCAAGTATTCTACTTTATAAAAAAAAATATAGACCATATAGAATAGAAAAACAGTATATGGAACTGTTTTCTATCATACAATAGAATTAGGTGTCACAACTTTGTGTGATAACGCAACTGTATGTGGTGTGTACGTCTTTAAATCTGCTAGGGGCAGAATAAAAAGTGTGCACCAGATATTATACTTTCTAGAAAAAGATATAAATCATATAAAATAGAAATACAGTATATGAAACCCTAGCAGATAATCATGGCTGAGAAAACCACAGCCATCTATTTTCAGCCGAACAAAGGCATCGAGACTTGGTCGTTGAGTGTCTGTAACTAAAATCGTTGAGTGTCTGTAACTAAAATCAGACACTTGACTTGCCGAACACCGGTCTCAAACAGACAAACGCTGGAACTATAATTCCCGAATAGCTAGAAGAGCGCTATTCAGTACTTTGGTGCATTCGACAGAGGGGAACAATTGCTGCTGAGAGCCAGGGGATCCATTCGGTACTTTATTCATTTTTTCCCTTTTACTGAAGTGACCAGCAAAACCCACCAAACTCATGGAACTATTTTGGGCAGCCTGCACACGGTAAGCCGGTCACAGAAGACTTCCACATTTTTTTTTGAGAACACCTGAAGCGATCTGGGTGAAATTTTTTTTTTTTTTTTTTTAAGTGTTCTAAAAGTGATACGATGGTGGTTGCTGCTTTTCAAAGAGGAAAGTCCTTCCTAAAGAAATTCTAAACGATAATCAGAGGACGCGCAACTGACATCCTAATTGTTTAATAAAGCCGCAAACATAAAAAATAAATAATACAATACCGCATATAAGACAACATACAGTAAGGCACAATGTGTGTATATATACACTATATGCACAAGAAAAGTTCAAACAGAAATAGATTGGTTAAAACACTATAAAGTAATATATTGCTATGCCATCCCTCATTGATTCAGTGTAGCAGAAGTTGTTTTTTTTTTTTTTATATATATATATATATATATATATATATAAAGAGCTGGAGTAATGTTGCTGTTAAATGCTATAAAGCCTCTGACGTGTCGGGAGATCTGTTTTGAAGTGTAATCAAATGCAGACTTCTGGGGGCTCCTGGATGAATATCATCCTGAAAATTCCTGCCAGCTGGATCTTTGGCAGTGTTGGGGGCAACAGCTCTGGTGTCCTGTCTCCCCCTCTGGGTGCATGCCTTACCCGTAGGGGATAGTGGAAATAAGGAAACTCCAGAGGATCAGAGGCGGTCAGTGATTGGTAATCGTTCGCCTCACGCTCCTATTTCGTGATTGGTCCTCACTTAATCAGGGAGCGTATCCAATATTGTATATATCTATTGTGCCTTACTGTATGTTGTCTTATATGCAGTATTGTAATTTTTTTTAATGTTTGTGATTTTTATAGATTTTATTAAAGTACCAATTAGTTTCCAAGTTTTTATCTTTTTATCTCTAATGACTAAATGCTGCTTGTGTTTTCGTTGGTCATTGGAAAACGTTGGCCTTGTTCAGATAGTACTTTTTAAAGAGCAGTGTCTGTCCTGAATACTTAAGGAATATGTATAAATGTCAATACTCACATTATCAGCAGTAATTGCTGGTAAACCTGGAAGATAAAGGGTTGATGGTATGAAAATTACTATTTTATGAATAATCTTTTCGTAGCAGAATATTTATTGTCCTATTTAAATCCGAATCAAACAGTTTAAACTTGAACAGCATTTATTAAACAAATCTACAAGTAACTTGGTTATTAAAGGAACACTCCAAACACCATAACCACTGCTGCCCCCATTTATTGGCTATAGTCCAGGTGTACCCTTATGTAATCTCAGCATAATCTCTCAAACTGTTTTTAACATGGTTTGATACTTACCTGGGTCCCACCGCTGCCTCCACTTCATCCAGGTTTCTGAGATCTGGAGAAGCCAGACATCAGTTTGACATGCAGCTACTCTGCCAACACGGTCAGCCAATGAAGACTAAATGCTAGAGTTCAGGACAGGATCCCGGTAGGACCCAGATTTAGTCAAACACCGCTAAACTGGCTTGACGGGTTACACTGGGATGGCACCAGGGAACGCCTTCCACCATAACCACTGTAAGGGTCATGGTGCATAGAGTGCTCCTCTGAGTTTTAAACTAACAGGTTAAAGAGGAACAGTTACTTCTCTACAACATTACACTGTGGAATTAAACACTGAAAATCACCTCTAATTTGAGTTAACTTACTTTCATATAATGTTTTCTTTTAAACTTAAGTAAATATATTTTATATTATATTAAAGATTTAGAAAATTACATCACAATCCAGTTCAGATAAAGCCAGACACACATTGCAACTGAGGAGGAGAATCAGAGAAATTACTTAATTTCTTATTTTCTCTGTTTGCTTTCTGACTGCCAGGAACAAAGGACAGATTCTACATATAATTTTTATTTTTCAAATCTCATATTTGCTATATAAGTATATCTATGTTAGCTGTGTGTTAGTGTTCACAGTTCAAAAGCCTCATGTAGCTTTTGTATGACAATAGTATGGAGTAGTGTTAGCTAATCTATAGGGACACTTAGAGGGCAGTGCCCCACACGATAACTGTTATCATAATGAAAAAACAAAAGAAAAACTATTGCCAGGGTTAAGAGTGACCCACTAACATGAGTTTGTTTCCCTTTGGGAAATGGTTAACTTACAAATAATCCATTAAACATACACCATACAGCACTGCAGTGCTATAATTTCCCCTTCTTTCATTTCAGAGCAAACTGACGGATAATGAAAAATGGCAGTCTGGATAAGGTGTTGAGTACTAGGTCATGTGTATAATTTAGGTCGTTTGCGAAATCCGTCCAGTCTAATAGCACCACAGACATGCTCAGTATGCTAAAGGTGGTTTGTGACGTTCCCCATTTAATCTCAAGTGTCTGAAATGAATGCCCAGTGACCTAGAACACTAGTAAGGGCTGTGGCAACTGACATTTAGTGTGGATAAGTGCAAGGTGTTAAATCCCAAGGGCCAAATATAGAATATTTTGAGGAAATATAGAAACATAGAATGTGATGGCAGATAAGAACCATTCGGCCCATCAAGTCTGCCCAATATTTCGAATCCAATTCAATTGGCTTAGTTTGCCTCCCACCATATTAAATCTTCACCAGCTGCCACTGTTATTGAGCTGTGCGGGATGCATTCCAAATCTATAATATAGACCTTTTTCAGTATGAACTATGCAAACTTTACTATGAGCAATGGTTCACACTTCTATAGTGTTTGGGACAAGGAAAATCAAGTTGACATGATTATCAGAAATAGAGAAATCAATACATAAATCAAATTCCGATTTTTTTTTTTTTTAGCAGTTATACATCTGCCGTACTAACCTCCTTTTCTGCGATCAGTTTTAATTTCAGCATAAAACAATTCTTCTCCAGCCGGTACTGAATAAGAAGGAAGAAGATTAAAGGGTGATTAAAAGAGGGAACGTCACATGGACTGAGTAAACGACATCTGATTTATATCACTGGCTGATTTCTACGCTAAGATGTCTGGACTGGAAGCCATGATTACGCTTTGATAACACAAATTACTTTGTTACTGTTAATTTGCTTCACAGGTTAACTTCTCATTGCATTGCTTCACTGTCAACACCTCCACATGTCATAATTGCCAATTAAAATATAGTTGTTCGTTTGCAGGTTCGGATGCCAAATATTTTAACATTTTATCTTATATCTTTTTTTTTTTATTTAAATGTCTTAAAGGAACACCCCATTCAACAATTGGGGGGAAAACACCATTTTGTAGATATACAAAAATGAAAACATACATGCACTTTTTTCGCTGCATGTTTTCATTTGAGATCTATCTAAAAAAAAAGTATGCAAGGCTTCTGCCTTTGTAAGCCTTATCGATTTTCTTCTTTTTCTAAAAGTCTGTGCTTGGTGGAAATGACCAAACAGAGGACTCTCATTGAGACGGTGGAGGAGGCCAGGGAGGACTCTGCAAATGAGCCAGTACATTATTTAAGCCAACCAATTAAAGCGTTGTTTTAGCCATGTCTCGAAGTGTGATTTGACTGTCAGAGTGCTGTAATAGATGATATAGCACGGGCAATCCTTTATAAGGACGTTACCCAATATAAGTGATTAGCCCTTGCAGAGCAAAGATGGATACATTTTATTGCGTCTAGTTTTTTTATTTTTTTGTCCTATTTTGTTTTTTAATTTTTTTTTATCTGGTTATTTTATTTTAAACAGTTGTGTATGAATTTAGGTAAATATAAGTTTTACTTTACAGGTTTTAGATTTATTGTTCTCCCCTCACTATTAGGGTGAGGGGGTAGGTATAGACAATTATTTTTACTGTGGGTTGGCAAGGGGATTGGGGAGCCCTAGCCACCCATGGCGTACGGGAAGGGGGTGGACGATTGCATGTTCTGCCCCACATTATTTAATTATTAGAGCCCCCAAATGCTGCCCACGGGTTGGTTCTTTGGGAAGGGCGGGCATTGGCCCGTAGATATTATTAGGGCGGAGTTGATCAATAGGTCCTTCCTCCGATTTATTATATTTAGGGCCCCATCCTGTTGGCCATGGGTGTGGGCATGGTGGATGGGCAGTAATATTTCCAATTACTTATTTAAAAGCAAACCAGATGATGCCCATAGGTGGGGGCATGTAGGAACGTCATAGAGAATGGGCAGCAATGGCTGGTTTTAATCTGACTTATAGTAGTATGGTCTTTTTTACCCTATAAGCTTAAATGTATTTATTTTCTTAGATCATCCTTTTAAACTATTTAATGCTAGCAAGCCATGGACAGCCACCACGTAAATAACCCTTGCACTCTTGTGGGTAATTTAACAAGTTACCTTCTGGCTTTTACTGTTACCAGCATGCAAATAGTATTAACATTATAATTCACTTACATGAAAAGCATGTGAATCATAATTTGCAAATGTCCATTCTATTGGATGCATTTAGTCCTGAATTTTATTAAAATCAGTGCTTTGTTAATCTTCCAAATCCTATGCGAAAGCACTTATTTTAATCTGGACACCAAATGCATGCAG